CCCCTTAATATCCCTAGAACAATATGTAAAAGACCTTGTCCCAGAAGTGGTGGGCTTGATAAAATTTCATGATTTATATGATAAAATGAATGTAGTTTAGTTCTTTGTTGACTGCACCTAAGAAATTTTTTTCAATATTGATTAAATAATCCTCCTCAACATCACCAATTTAAATTCTGTAGTGAAACACTTTACCTAATTTATATTCTTTGTCTTAAAAACCTATCAATTGCCCAATGTCCTTGCAAACAGTATGTAAACAGGAAGGGTTAACTGCAATAAGGACAGACACAGAAATACCAAAACGAAGAAATACTAGTCTCATTGGGACAAAATGTTTGCTATAAATAATCTAAACTGTGTGATGATAAGGATGCCAACACCTTGATTATTGAACACCTAAGGGATATTTACTGAGAGGGTAATAAGTGCCCTGTTGATGTATGTTCGTAGAGCTTAACATAGACCCAGACCATATTAGGTGCTCCATAAAAATCACCATACAGGCTTTTAGTATGGCCTGAAATAAATTACATAAAGCTCAATTTCAATATTATTTTTTACTATTCAATGTCACTATCACAAATCATGTTCTCTGCCATCATGAAGTTTGTATCTACTTGGAATAATAGACAAAGGTGTAATAACCGGAAAACAAAACATGAATTACAACACACAAGGTTGCTATGAAGAGAGAATTTTCATCCAACAAAAATTTTCACCAGACTTTCTTTAAAACAACAATTACTGTAATCAATTCTTAGTTGAAGATTTATGAATATATCAATCAAAATTTAAAACTTCTCACTGGACAGGGTGGCACACACCTATAATCCTAGCACTAGGGAGGCTGAGGCAGGAAGATTTCCATGGGTTGGAGGCCAGCCATAGTGAGTGCAGGGACAGCCTTGGATGCATAGTGAGGCCATGTCTCAAAATACTAAACACACAAACAAACAAAAAACTTGAAAGTTTTCAATAATACAACTGCATGTACTTTATGTGTTGTTACAACTTTTCTATTGTCAAAAGAAATTAGCTTTCTCAGTGTTATATAGGAACCAAATTTTGTCTCACTTTATCTTGACTCGAAAGGTTGAGGGCTTATGGGAAACCTATGCTACAATATTTTTGCTATCGAATCAATTAAATACTTTATTTTTTCAGAAAACATTTATTGAGCTCTCAGGTTCTAGGATGTATAATAATTAATTGCCTCTCCCCTTTGTGCCCATTATCTCTTCGTTGATTAAACCTTACACTTTCTATAGTAAAACCATATAGCTTTCAGCCTAACAGCGGCACAATCATATTAATAAAACAAAAAATTCACTGATTAAAACTAGGCTACCCCATTCATAAGCTATTTTATTCCAAGTTGTTATATTTTAAGAGCACATTAATCAAAATTTAAATGTGATTACATTTTCAAATGAAATCAAACTTGATCATTCTGAAAAACGATGATAAACAATGTCAAATATTCAAATTCTCATTAAAATTATATGCCAATCAGAATTTAAATATCACCTAGTTGAAGTAGCATTATACATTTCAATAAGAAAGGAGTATCTCTTAATAGATGCAAATGAGTTTTTGGTTTTCACCTCACTCTATTAATTAAAGATGAAACTAAGATTTTTAAAATGAGATCAGTAAATAGTTTATATGTTGCCAACTTGGCTTACAGAGATTTTCCTGGAAGTTAATGGATAACTAAATTATTAACTTTTAAGATAAAATATACCATGTATTATATGAACCAGGTTAATATTTAAATCACTTATCTTCATTAAATCAAATTTAAAAAGTAATAATTTAAAAGTCCACAAGTCTTATTTGACCTTTTGAGCATTATTGGGGATCAAGCCAAAAGCCTTCATATTGAACTACATCTCCTGTGTCCCTTTTTTTTCTCGTTGAGATAGGTCTTGCTAAATTGTGATAAGTTGCTAAGTTGCCCAAGCTGGGCTCAAACTTGTAATCACTTTTCCACAGTCTCCCAAAATGCTGATTTTGAATCCTGGAAAATTAGGATTCATTTGAGAAAACCAGGATGAACTTCAAAGGCATCTAAATAATCCCAAGTCCAAATTTTAGTATTAAAAATAGAACTGTCTCTCACAAACAGGTATCATCTTTTGTTTTGAGTCCCTTCCCTTGTCTTTTTGCCTCCCTGATTTTTGCTTATCTTTCTCTTTTACGTTTTAATTCCTCTTACTGTTTTCCTATGCGCCCAATGTTACATGAATGGATTAAGAGATAGAGGTCAGTAGCATAAAACAAACCAAAACCACCCAAATAGGCCTTGTGTTACATTTGATTAAATACTGAATCATGTAAAGAAGTGACTTGTATCATTTGTACATAAAAACAATTTCTTGAGTCACTAATGATCGGTCAATTCTTGTAGACAGTGGAAAGGAGGGGGAAAGAGATAGACTGCTTTATTTGTGCAGATCTGGAGCATAATGGGTTCCAGTGGTTGAAACAAGTTTGAGTTGAAGTGACAGACAACAGAGCTTGGGAGTTTTAGAGAGCTAACATCTATTTCCAAGGGCGAGTTTGAGAAATAGCAAGAACTCGAAGACTTCAAATCCAAAAATGAGTGTGTAAGACAAACTCTAAATACAAAGTGAACAGCCAGGCAAGGTGAGAAGTGGAGATCCACAAAGAGGTACCCTCAGGGCAACTGTCAGACAGCTAGGCACTCATGGCAATGGAGAGGTTAGGAAACAGAAGGACAGATTTTGTGCAGATGGAAAAAGGCACCAGGAGAAAGTTTCAGTATTCTCATGATATGATTTATACACGTATCAAATCTTCAAAATGAATATAAGTTTTTACGTATTACTGACGTAAACCAATTACCATTTTTAAGGAAACCCATGATCAACAAAGGGGTAGCGAAGGGTATTGAGATGGTAAAAACATGTAGAAAGTCAACTCTTCATGTATGAAAGCCCCCTGAGCCCTCATTGGATCAGAATTTGGAAGAAATAAATATTTCTGTACACTTCAACTTTTTTACCATTTAAAAAAACCAGTAGTTTGAGTAATTTAATAACAGAGATCCTTATGATTTGAGAATGATCACTATAGAACATTTTCTCAGGGTAAAAGTGTAATTGGTTATGGGTCAATAAGTAATTTCTTTTAGTAAGGAAAAGCTCGTTTTATTTCTTTATTTATTTATTTTTGAAGTGGAAATGCTCCTAAGTCAAAACCAAGCAAACAGATTGTGAGACCTGAGATTACTTTAAGCTGCAAGATTTCCTACTGCACTAGTTAAGTTTCCTCAACTGATCATTTATTTATGATGGCATAAAAACCCAGATGCTTTCAATTTTGATTGTTAGATATTTGCTGAAAGGCAGCTGAAATTAGATTTCCCAGAGTTCGTATTTTGACAAGTGCATTTTGAATGGAAAATTTACGGTGGCTCCATAATGGTTGTGCTGAAGTTATTTTCTGCTTTTTTTCCCGGTTTACAAATGAATTTAGCCCCTGTATTCAATGTAAATCCCTACTCAGCTTGTTGGAAATTTCTAAAGTTCAATGCAAACGTATGGTTAAGAAAATGAATTAATAAAATTTTCGACAATTAAGACTTTGTAAATGTCTGTGTTAATGTAGTATTTTGGTGTTTGGTGGTTCTCCTAAGTATTTTAGGAACAATGCCAAAAGACCAATTTCTATCAAGAAAGAAGATGATGCCTTAATCAAATATCCTTTGTGCCATGAATACTCATAAAGGGAGAACTTATAAGGGCAGATAAAAACAAAACAAATCACATTTACATAATGACAGATACAGAGGAAATAAAATTCAGTAGAAGACGGACTGAATGAAATGCTTCTGAAGTTTCCAGAAGTTAAAGATTTGTGACAAAGAACAATGATAATAAGGACTCTGAAGAGCTTCTCTGTTTTTGTGGTGGTGGGGACTGAATCCAGAGCACCAAGCAAGCTACGATAGTGCTGCACCGCTGAGCACACCGTCAACCCCACAATCTTGTCCACCTGACACTTTTTCCCGGCTCATCATTGTGATATACTAGTAAAATATTAATATCTATTAGTAATTAATGAATATAGTTTTCCTTGCAAGTAACACAAGGAAATGAGAAGATAAAAGACATACTCATTAGTAATTCTTTGAGTGCAGAGAGAGAAAGAAGAGTCCCTTAACTATAAAGTCAATTACAGTAACATTAAAAAGGAAAAATACATTTTCATTCATGAGCCGCTATTTGTCTTCTACTATGTGCTGAGTAAATTCTTTTTTTTTTTTTTTTTTTGTCTTTTTCCTTTTTATCGGTACCAGGGATCGAACTCACGACTACCTGCTTCCAAGGCAGGCGCTTATGCCGCTGAGCTAAGTCCCCAGCCCACTGAGTAAATTCTTGTGAGAAGCTGAGAACTTAGAGAAAAAGTAATGGTCCCAAACTGGAAATGGCAAGAATCCAAGGTATTCTCCTGACACATATCAAATTGAGCACAAAATGGCATCTTTTTGCGATTTTCTTTCACATCACAAAATAGCCGTAAGGTTTCCTTCCACTTCATGTAACTTTTGACAGTTTTTCTCTCTAGCAAGAAAAGAAGTAAGAACACTGAATCCAGATCTTTGGATGTCACCAGTATTACAACCTTCTGCTTCCGGCCAGATGGTATGGTATCTACCACGCAATAACTTATTTTATTAATTTGGCAAGCTTATCCAAAGACACTAAAATCACTCCAAATAGTCTCTGTGAAAACAAAAATTGAGAGGAATTCACATTCCAAAAAAACAAAATAAAACAAAAGCATTTCCATTGAAAATTGCATGTTACCTCTAATAGATCTATGATTTCACCATCTCTAGATGATATTTGTATTTTCTATAGCAAAGTATCAGTTTCTAGAGGAAAACAGCCAAGAAGCAAAATTATCAATCCTGTAGAAAAACATAGCACTTAAAAGTAAAGGATGATGATTACTTTAAAAATACTTACTATATGTAGCTCTAGGTAGTCACCCAAGCCTGAAGAGCTGTCCACTCGCACCAAAACTGCTTCCTTCTGCACAGTGCTAAACCCTATAGCCAGTCTGTCTGCTCGTGTACTTGGCCGGTCATTAGGAGGCCACTTATATGTGATCTGTCCACCACCTTTGCTAAAGATATACGTTGTCCCAGCTGTAAAAGCAAAATAAAAAGAAAGAACAAAAAAAAACAAAAAATAATTAGTACCAGTACCTCTACACTTTCCCATGATGATTATATTGATGTATCACAAAGCATTGACTTTACACTCAGAACTATAGCAAAGCAAATGATAGGTTTAATCAAACAAGTTCAGGGGTGAGGACAGAGTTCTTTTAACAGAAATAGATAAGCAATTCCATTTTTAATATACTCATTAAATCCACCAGCAGGTGTTTCATAACAAACAGCAGATTATGGGTGCTTTTTTTTTTTCATTTCCATTGAATTGGATGAGCATGGAATAGAGTGGGATTTTATTTTTTCCTGTCAGTTTTTAAGAAATAGGCTGGTAGAAAATACTGACTGGAGGCTTCCCAAAATCAGTAGAAACATATACCAACTTGTTTTTGAAAGAAGAGTTGCAGGCAGGTACGGTAAGGTCACCAAGCACAGTGGAGCAAATACACTAGGAATCAAAGTTTTATAGGAAAAGATTTGTGTATATATGACAGGTGATAACTAATGGAAGAAGAGCCATGAGTCCCAGGATTCATGTCAAGAAAATACCCAACAGATCTATCTATAAAAGCTTGGAGTTTTTAAACAAGCAGCATCTACTGATTGTCAAGCTTTCAGCATTCTAATGAGAGCTCCCCTCCCCAATGAACAGGAGCCCTACAGCACTGAGAATGACGCCATGGTCCCGTTCTGTGAGTGTTCACATTTTAGTATGACTTATGGTCATTTTACTTTCTAGTAATGATGTCAGTATACTATCTTAATTTAAAAAGAGTTCCTTTTTTCCCCAAATGCACTTGGAATCCAATTCATTGAAAATCTACTTCATTTCAGTTAGTATTTCTTTCACTGACTGAAATAATAATTTCGAGTTCTATCATTTAGAAGATATATACAAAGATTTATATAAAAGAGAAATGAAAAGAGTTCCCTCATTCTGGAGGTTACTACACAAATTTTTACTTAATTCACCTTAGAACAGACCTTAGGGAGAATTTATAGAGGAGAGGATATGCTTTCAATAAGAAACAATCTCAGTATATATTTATTATTTACCTACTGTTAGGTTAGTTTTGTCATTCAAGTTGAGTGGATTCTGGGGATGCCCAAAGCTAGTGAACTTTTTCTGGGCTTGTTTGTGAAGTGTTTCTGGAAAAGATTACTTTTGAATTGGTGACGAGAAAGGCACCACACAATGTCACTGGCCATCATTTACTACACCGAGGGCTTGAATAGAACAAAAAGTGGAGGAAGGCTGGATTTTCCCTCTTCCTCTGCCTGACTTAACTGGAAACTCACTTTTCAAGGACCTTAGTTCTCAAGTCTTCAGACCCACTCTAAACCCTACATGATTATCTCTCTTATTCTCAGGCCTTTGAATTATATTGCTGACTTTTCTGGGTCTCTAGTTTGCAAATATCAGTATATGTATGGGTGTCACTAGATGGATAGATAGATGACAGAGTATGCCACATTGATTTTGTTTCTCTGGAGAAATGTATTATAATTACTATATGCCAAAGTTATACCATAAAACATCCCATTTTCATGGGAAAAAGCTTTTACCTACAGGAATTCTGATGTGTAAAAGCTGTGTGCATAGAAATGTTTTTATAATACCTATATACTAAATTTTGCCACTTCAATGAAGTTGGCTTTTGTCACATTCGCTAGTATTTAGTTAAATAGCTGATTAACGTTGTGGGGCTTTTTATGGGATGATAATCAATCTTTGTTTTTCATCAATCATTTTCATAGACTCTTGAAAATCCCCCAAGACTTCCACAATATACCCGATGGCTAAAAAGATTTTGGTACATAAATCTGCCCAAAAAGCATGTTAAAGATGACTGAATGTAAAAGTGATAAACTAGAACACTGCTAAGATTAAATGATACAGAGACTATGCACTTCTTTGTTAATTTTTACAAATATTTTTATGTCAATGCTTAAAAGAAGCTTACATTTCTCATGTGGTAGAATGTAAGTCGTATTTCAAAGGCCGCCGTCAGTGTGTAAGTAAGCAAATTAAATGGAGAGCAAACAGGTTGTATATTAGAGAAACCATAGCATTTCAGAGCTGTTGCTACATCATCAACAGCACAGTCACCACCACCAGCACCACTGTATTACTAAATAAACCATTTGGTGAATATTGTTTGCTTGGTAATTTTTTTTTTTCAGGTGATTAAGTACTAAGTGTGTCAGTAAGGCAAATGCCAATAGAAGGTGAGATTTCTTTAAAAGGAAGATGTAGTGATTATCTTTGTTTTTCCTGGTACTGGAAATCGAACCCGGAACCTTGTACCTGCCAGTCAGGCACTGTGCCACCGAGCTACATCTCTCTTGGCCTGTAGCGGCTATCTTTAAGTGCTAATACTTAATGATTAACTTATTTTTTCCTTTTAATTAAACTTATGCTCTAGTAACTCTGTTTTTCACATGAAATAAATAAAATGCCCAAAATTAGATATACTACTGAACAAAATAAAATATAAAGCACATTTAAGGATTCATATACCTTTTATAAGAGTCACCCTAGTACAGTGGTGTTGTAAATCAACATTAGTTTATATTACATAGTGAGTTTCATTTTATATATATCACTTTCATGACCCTTTTTTTTTTCATTTCTTCTGTACTTTTATAAGGAAAATAGGATAAGCAGTACTTCCATGTTGTATCTGAAGAAATTTAGATATGAGGATTGACCTCTTACCTCAAGTTACATATTTGGTTAAATGGTGAAGCTGGTATAAATCTAATATCTAGAGTCTGTTCCACAACACATTTTTTTTTTTTAGTAGAGAAGTGTTTCTTCAATAATAAGGCAGTCAGAAAAAGTTAATTGAGTATGTCAGTTTGAATTTATCAAGGCCAATGGTTGTCATAATCTAATGTCTCATATCCATAAAATAACATTTGTACATCATACACTCCTCTTTCAACTCACAATGCTGTGAAAGAAGATACAAATGTGAACTGACAGAGCATTTAATATAAGTGGAATAATATTTAGTTAGGGTACATATCCCAAACCGCTGGAGCTATAAAACATTTCAGTTTACAGTTATGGAACTTGAGATAATAATTTAAAGCTTTATATTTTCAGTAAAATAAGTGTCCTACTTGTTTCTCAACATTTGATGTCAACACCTATTTTAGTCTTTTCAAGTGAATGTTAACGTTTACTCTTGAAATTCTGTGACTTAATGGAAATTTTCATTTCAAAGAAATTTTAATATAATAACACTAGAGTTTATCTAATCTGTTTTTAACACTGACCTTCAATAATCCTCATATCTACTAATATCTACTATGTTATTTATACTCTGTAATTATCTAGAAAACTAATTCTGTATACAAATGGAACATAATAGTACTTTAAAAGGCATGTGATTCTTTCCAAAAGACTAACAAAGAAAATGAAAAAATGATTTCCAAGTTATATAAGTAATTCTACACCTTATACTTTGAAAACATATTGTGTTTCTTTGCCTTTCTTCATGAAAATTCAATTCCCAAAATCATTTTGGAATCCTTTGAAATGTTATCTTTTCCAAAAGAACTCGGAGATTTTTAGGAAAACAAGTGAATGGTCTAAGGTTATCTTATTTGAAGGATATTCAAAGTTACCACAAGAAAAATTCTTTACTGAATGTAGTATACAATGGTTTAATTATTAAAGGTCTTTGAATAGAGGTCTTTATAATTAGCTATATTGCATCAAAAACCAAATGTGGTGGGATATGGTGGCACTTGCCTGTAATTTTGGCTACTTATAAAAACTGAGGCATGTGGGTCATGAGTTTGATATTAACCTGGTGAACAGAGAGCAGGGCTTATCTCAAAAAACAACAACAAAAATAGAAAACTGCCTAAAACCAAATATATTAGTTTGCAAGGGAGATTTACACAAAGGAGAGACAGGAAGATGCTAGATAAGTAAAAGAGTTATTGCTACAAAATTTAAATTTAAATTAAATTGAAAGTGATACACTAAAAACTATGTCTATAATAATGGGAATACAAAATAGAAATTTAAAAAGTTGACATCTGATTTATCTGATAGGGACAGTTGAGGATTTCATGATGATAGCTTGAAACTTTCTATTGCCACCAGGATTTATCATGGTGTTTTATATGCAATAAATGCTTAATTTTTCTTGAGTTATAGCTTTATAGGGGCTTCCCCCTTCCCCGCCGACTTCTCTCTCTCTCTCTCTCTCTCTCTCTCTCTCTCTCTCTCTCTCTCTGTCTCTTTTTGTATCAGCAATCAAAATCAGGGTTTTTTGCTCTTGCTTGTCAGGCACTGTACTGCTAAGCCTAACAGCCAGCCCTGTATAAACGTTTTTATCCTTGGCTTATGATGTTCAGTCTCCTATTTTCTAAATTCAGCAGCAAACTTGGCTATTGTCTCAGCACTGTGTTTTATTTATTTTTGTTGAAAAAAAAAAAAAAGTTCACTACTAGCTTTAAATAAAGGTCATTTCCCAATGACCTTTATCAGGTTACTAGGACTGTAAGAAACTTCTGAACATAATCTCCGCAGGATTTCGTCTCCTGTTCTGAAAGGCATGGTGCCCTCCCTCTGCAGTTACCGCCATCCTGTCTTTAGATCTCCTCTCCCCTCACAAGGGCAACGCATACTATGTGCGCCTACCAGTTACATCAGAAAGATGTGTTGCTTTTGCACTGTTTTCCTCAGCACTGACACTGTCGCCCCTCTTGGATGCCGAACCCATGGAAGGAACCAGTCCACACAAATGTTGGGACAATAAATATATCTGACTCAAGGCTTTACATGTGTTTTTTTAGCCTGGAAACCATTTCATTATGGTTTCAGTGATTTCTGCAGTGACCTACTTTTATGTATGAATGAATGGATGGATGAACGAATACGAATTTACTAGTGATGTGCTATGTGGATGAGCTGTGCTACTTAGGCCATTTCTACTACAATCTGAAATTTC